GCTTAAAAATTTCTAAAAATACTCATCAATATAATATTGCTAAGATAGTCATTTCACATATTCTGAAAGTCTGGATTGTATATAGAAAAGTAATTTCTCAGTTTTCCCTGCTTTGCAGTTTTAAGCGTTTTGTTTTCTTAAAGTGAAACTTCAGTTTTACAGTTTTAAGCGTTTTGTTTTCTTAAAGTGAAACTTCTTTAGCGGCGGTTGGTTGGTTGGGAGTAAATTGGCAAATTCTGCGGAAATTGCTCACGGAAATGGTGCAACGGAAATGATTCAATGGAAATGATGCAACGGAAATGGTGCAACGGAAATGGTTGGGGCTGAAACAAGTGCTTCTTGTGTATATGCAACGGAAATGATGCAACGAAAGTGATGCAACGGAAATGGTGCAACGGAAATGGTTGGGGCTGAAACAAGTGCTTCGTGTGTGTATGCATATGGTATTAATTTAACAAAAATTTGCTAATAAAAGGTTAAAGAATAACACTTAGAAAAAGACCAATACAACAATGAAAGTAAAGGTGACTACGTACATAAATGAAGGAAAGGATAAAGGCAAAGGTAAAAATAAAAACAAAAACAAAGATGCGTAAAGATAAAGGCAAAAATGAAGACCAATGTAAATTTAAACACTTTACTTATATATATAAAGGCAAAGGTGAAGGGAAATATGTAGCTGAAAAAATTATGAACATAAAAGTAAAGACAAAGAGGAGGATGAGGATACCGATAAAAGCAAAGATGAAGATAGGGGAAGAAAGATTAAAATAGAGGTAATTAAAGAGGAAAGTATACAGAGAGAGACACAGAGACTCAATCTGGGAACTATTTTGGGATTTTAGAGATTTTCGGGATTCTCAAGACATACCGATAATAAATCGATATTTCTATCGGTTTTTTATTGATATTTACCGATTTTGTTATCGGCATTCATCGATTTTGTAATCGATAATTATCGATTTTTTTTATCGATTTTGTTATCGATATTTGTCGACTTTTTTAGCGATACTTATCAATTTTTTAGCGATTTTGTTATCGATATATATCGATTTAGTTATCGATTTTGTTATCGATATCTATTGATTTTGTTATCGATATTTATCGATTTTGTTATCGACATTTATCGATTTTTTATCGATAATTGTCGATTTCGTTATCGACATTTATCGATTTTGTTATCGATATTTATCGATTTTGTTATCGATATTTTTATCGATTTTCTAGTCGATTTAGCTACCAATGGTATTATCGATGTTGCTATTGAAATAAATAGATAAATGAGATAAAAATGAAGATAATGGAAAAACCGAATAACATGAATGTTATTAAAACGAACAGTGGTAGAGGTAGAAAAAAAGCGAAAAAATATAAACTTAAGCAAAAGCAGATGTGTGTATGTATAGATAGATAAGTAACGTAAGTTTCACTTCTACAGTGTGGCCCAGGCGCACTTACTTTTTTTTTATAACAAGTTGGTGGACGCATAGCCGCATTTAAATCAATTAATTTGAATGTTTATGTTTACCAAAAAGTGTTAATCTTACCAAAAATGCGGCTGCTGGGTGCACTTTGGTGCAAATGAACAAACATTGTTTAAAAACATTGTTCCAAATGTTTCCACTTTTCCTTCATGTTCCTTCCATGTTGTTCTTTTATATTAAGATGCACCCTAGTGGCTAGGGCTGCCAGATATCTCTGTTGCCAAACCGGGACACTTTAGGGAGGGCCTCTCACTACCTTCTCTTTCATTTCGACGTGCGAAAAGATGTAGTGAAATTTTATTTTGACAGACAAAAACAAAAACATAAAAACATGAGATCATGAGATCATTACAACGTACGCCAACAAAACAAAACAACTTATCACAACTAAAGCACAGAGAATTTTTCACAATGCATGAACCTTTTTTTATTCTTTATAAAAATACAGTTTATACTAAATATATGAAAAAACATTAAAAAAATGTTAAACTATGTGCTAAACTCGGCAAAATTCAATAAATTTGCATACAAATTTGCAACATTCTAATCAGACTTTTTATACAAATTTTTAAAATGAAGTTTTGCAGCCCTTTAAATTTTAGTTGATTTTTGGTATTGTTTTTACTGAGAGTTTCTTCCATACAAACTATGATCGATAATTCTTTTTATATGAAGGACACTGTCAGCAAAAAAAATGCTAAAAATCAACGAAATTTGCTGGCAACTTCAGACTTGCACTTTATTAATTGGCCCAAAAGCTACATTTTCAAAATTTTTCTAAAAGATCTGATTAGAAATTGTGATCTGATGAAAGAGCCTCCGAGACAATAATTTTGTACGGCACTGTACTCTAGGTTTCATGAAAGAAAAAATCTTAAGTACAAGATAACATAAAAATATCAGTCAAATTTTTCGCTGCTGTAAACTTGTTTCAAAACTTCTGTCTTTTCCTTAATATAATTGTAAAACTCTGTGCACGTCATTTTGAACGTATTTAGGTACATATACGAATCATCAACTATTGCTTGTGCAAAGTTCAACTATTTTCGAAATGTGACTATTTCACAAATTAAACCGGTGCACTGAGAGAAAGAAGTTTAGAATTAAAAAAGCGTGCTAAATTTAAAAAAATACGCATATGAAAGAGCGCCAACCCAACTCGTAATACATTTAAGTATTTTAGTATTTAGTATAGAAATATTCACTTCAAATACGCCCATATTAAAATGAATCGATTTGCAATTACTGATTGCTTTTTCATAATTAAGTTAAAAAAACCCTCTGGAAATTAGCAAATTGTGTCAAGCATCTTCGCGCACTCAGCTACAGCAAGACATGTAAATGTGCATTTAAATGTTGAGTTTGAATCAACACCACGCGTGCGTGTTATGAAAGTATTATTTTTAAATACGAACATTTTTAAACGATAATCAAATAGAAAATATTCATGTTTGCTATGCGTTATTTCCCTCAGTGAATTCATAACATTTTTCGGAATATTACAATGCGTTTTTTTCGCTTAGTGTAGTGATTTTTGAACTTTTATTCAAATTTGTGCAATCAAATGAAAAACCGGGACACTAAAACGAAACCCGGGACATTTTAAGGTTGGACCGGGACACTGGGACAAATAGTCTAAAACCGGGACATGTCCGGGAAAAACGGGACGTCTGGCAGCCCTACTAGTGGCCCTTTTTGTTAAAAATAAATTGCAAATTCAGATCCTTAGGTCACCAAGATCCCAAAAAATGTCTTTTGATTGTATAAATAAATATTTGCATTTTAATCACTTTTAATTGATTTAAATGCGGCTCTGCGACAACCAACTTCAAATAAAAAAAAAATCACCAAGCAGGGAAATATGAGAAATAACTTTTCTATATACAATCCAGACTTTCAGAAAAACTTGGTTTCATCAATTCCCCAGCCGACCGCGGGACAGTGTGATTAATCACAATACAACCTCAAATTTTAAGGGCAGTATACAGGTCTCAAGAAAACGGTCAATAAAAAATTTGCCATTATTTCGTGTGTATTTCCAAGGAATTTTGGCATTTGATACTTCACAGCCTGTTGCTTCACTCTTTCGTTAAGAAATAATGGAACGGCCATATATTTCTGTTGCAAACATGGGTTGCCTTGTGCTCCTTTTTCAGAAAAAAAAACTTTAGAAAACCGTAGTAGAAAGCATAGCAAATTTCTTAAGAACTGCGTACTGCCTCAAGGAAATTTGACTCAAGAAAGTTTCTAAGCCACTTTTTGTACGTCATTTTGTATGGAGTTTTTGCTTTTCTTTAAAGCTGCGTACTGGCCTTTATAACAGCGTTGCCACTAACAATGGAATATAAAATAGATAGGGCATAAAATTTATTTTTTATTTGCGTTAAAAATTCGTTTAAAAGCAATCTTTACAAAAACATTACGATGGAACAAATGTCCCACCATGTCCCCACGTATTATACATACATAATTTTTAGATAGGTGGCAACCCCACTCAAACAAAAAATTAAAAATTATTTCACATGCAGAGACCATATCATTTTACTTTGTACCTCAGTTTTTAGTCCAACAAACGGTTAAGATCTTATAATTAAAAATAAATACAAAATTGGCAATCCTACTCAAAAAGTAATACATTATAGAACATCTAAAAGCCGAGCCTTTTTATTTGACACCTCATTCTTTTAATCCAACGAACATTGCGGATCTTATAATTTGTATGCAGGTGGCAACCCCTTAGGTATTTAAAGTACTAAAGATAATATTTCAATCGATACCGATTATACTTAAAAAAATCTCGTCTAATCCGTTCAGTAGTTTTTGAGATTAGCGTGATCAAATTATCTCCACTTTGCTTTGTATTATGTATAGAATATATTAATTTTTAAATAGGTGTCAACGCTATTCAAAAAATTAAAGCTATTGTACATGCGAAGTCCATGCTCTTCCATCTGGTGGCCCACTTTGTAATTCAACGAACGACGAAGATCGTGTAACATTTTAATAGGTGGCAACCCGACTCATAAAAATAATACATTATTGCACATTCAGGCTAAGTTTTTTAGTAATTTTATTAACAAGTGGCAACCCTACTCCAAAAACTAAAACGCTAATGCTTATCTAGAGGCCAATGCCTTGCATTTGACACCTAATTTTTTGTAATCTAATGAACGGTGCGGTTCTTATAGTTTTTTAGAAGGTGGTAACCGTATTAAAATTCTAAATAAAAAATGTCGCTTTCCTATCGATGCAGAGTATACTAGAGAAAATCTCGTCAAAATCCGTTCAGTAGTTTCGAGCGCGTACAAAGAATCTCGACTTTCCTTTATACTATGTGTAGATAGAAGATGGTACATTTCTAAAAATCTGCACCTGAAAAACCCGAAAGTAGGTGTTATGAAACCACACTCATGTGCATGCATATATATGTATGTTAAGAGACAATATCGGTGCTTTGCCCCTTTCCTAAAATTTGTATTTTAGAAATACCTACATATTTGTAACACTTTCACTTACCTATTAACGAAGGTCCTATAAGCCGCAATTCCACTGTTTTGAAGCCCTTCTCTCCGGTGCCGACAAATGCTATCACCAAACCCAAGGCAATTGTACCAAGGCCAACATATAGAAAAGTGTTCGCGAAAGTACTAGGTCCCCGCAATACACCTAAGAGATCTTCGTCTTCAGATGAGCCACCTAGAGATGCATCTTGAATCTGTGTAAAAATATATTTCAAATTATATTATTTTGAATGTATTGATTGCAATTCATGCATTAAATGGGTTTAAAACTTAATTATAAAAGAGGGTTAAAAAACTTGTAATACAATTAAGCAAATTAGAAGATAACAAGTAAGAAAGTCTAAGTTCGGGCGGAGCCGAACATTAAATACCCGGCGCAAGTATTAAATATGTTTTTTCACCTTTCCGAAACCTTCCGCTAGATGGTAAGCCGGGGTGTATCAATTTTGAGTAAATTAGCGTCCTTCAATTTCGAAATATTGAAGTTTCAAGCATTTCTGAAATTTACCGTTATATGAGAAGCGGCCGTTATTTTAGTCCGATTTCAATAATTTTCAACGTTTTCTTATATGTGGCAAGCACAATAACCACACCGAGTTTGGTACAAATTGGTAGAACGGTTACCGATATACATATATGTGATCATAAGTGGGCGGTGCTATGCCCATTTTCCAAAATTTTACCATAAACGTATTTCTTGGTAAAGAATTGTTGCAAGTATCAATTTTGAATAATTTAGCTTCAATATTTACTGATTTATCGAAGATTTTGTATTTCTCTAAATTACCGTTATATGGGATGTGGGCGTGGTTATTGTCCGATTTTAAAAAGTTTCGGCGATTTTTTATGCTGTACCAGGGCCAACAACTGTGCCAAGTTTGGAAGAAATTGGTGCAGCGGTTACCAAGATATACACATGTAACCATAAGTGGGCGTGGCTACGCCCATTTTCCAAAAATTTATAATATTCTTATTTTTCGTCGAAAAATTATTGTAAATATCAATTTTGAGCGAATTATCTCCAGTAGTTACTAAAATATCGCAGTTTTCGTATTTCTGAAAATTACCGTTATATGGGAAGTAGGCGTGGTTATTGAGCGATTTTAAAAATTTTCGGCCGTTTAGTATGTTGTGCGAAGGCCAACAACTGGGCCAAGTTTGGAAGAAATTGGTGCAGTGGTTACCAAGATATACACATATAACCATAAGTGGGCGTGGCTACGCCCATTTTCCAAAAATTTATAATATTCTTATTTTTCGTCTAAAACTTATTATAAATATCAATTTTGAGTGAATTATCTTTAGTAGTTACTAAAATATCGCAGTTTTCGTATTTCTGGAAATTACCGTTATATGGGAAGTGGGCGTGGTTAAAGTCCGATTTCGCCCATTTTCAATACCAACCTACCTTGGATTAAGGGAAACCTACATACCAAATTTCGTTAAGATATCTCAATTTTTGCTCGAGTTATCGTGTACACGGACAGACGGACAGACGGACAGACGGACAGACGGACAGACGGACAGACGGACAGACGGACGGACAGACAGACATGGCTTAATCGATTTCTTTTTTCATCCTGATCATTTATGTATACATTTGTCTATATCTATCTCGATTCGTTTTGGCTGTTACAAACAACCGTTATGTGAACAAAATTAATATACCCTTGTGCACAAGTGCGCTCGGGTATAAAAATAGGCGAGAGAGGCGTGAGAGGTACTCATGAAATTTGATGAGTAAACATATGCGTACGGCAAAGCATAAAAGCTCAGTTAGTCTAGACTTAACTTAATTTAACTTACCGTA